TGGGGCAGAGAAATGATACGGGAATTCCAATGAAAAATGTTTGGTTGAATGGATTGTTTGTTGCTAACCTCCTTCATTGGTTGTCTCTTCTGACAAATCATTTGTGTGCGGTTATCCTTGTTTTAACTGGTTGTTCCCGGGCTTGACAGTTATCAGGGAGCAATCTAACCCCTGGCTCCTAGTGCCGTGAGATAAGTAACTTCGAATGGATTGTGGCGTACCAAACTATGGTTGCATCTTCATTCTTCCTCGTAATCTCTTGTGTGTTGGTGCGCGTGCTATCGTGCCCGAAGGATGTCGGTCAACCAAATGAGCAAATGCGCTTTCTTTCCTTCGAACTAGATGGCTTAGTGTCCCTAGTGGAACGGATAAGCACAATTATATTTAGCAATGGTGGTTCTTTCGCTGAAGTTGTTGCCATAGATAATAGGAGAGACTGAGAAAGGAATTCAGCTGCGCGCAAAGTATCACAGAGTTACATTGCAAATAATTTGCTAATCATCCGACTAATGTTGTCCATCACCCCTGAATAACGGTTAAATTGAAATGGTCATTTTCCGTCGAGTGAGCAGTTTTCTCAGGCTGTGCTCACTTGAGTAGGCTTTGACATAAGTGCTTTTTGTTTTGTATTGTTTCCACTATCTCTTTACGTTCCTCACCGAATGCGTCTCTAGAGGTTATTTATCGTGCCCTGTGCAACATCTAACTTTTTTGAAGTTGAAATCATTCACGACAGATTGAGAAAACCAATGACGCTAGTTTATTGAATCTAATTTCGTATGAAAAAGTACTGTCCTGGATTGGCGACCAGTGATAGGGTGACGCACAGAAAATGAACGCCAAAGTCCAGGCAAACAGAACACTAGTTCTTTAATGTAGGTGTAATGCGACATAGATAAACTGTACAAAGAACCTCATTCCGACTAAGAAACCACGTAAGACATGGCAGAATGCAACTTGACCCGGATGAAGCCATTCGCAAGACACAGACATACCGAAGCCTGAGGAACAGCAAACGGGAACCAAGTATTTCTTTCCTTTTCATTGTATTTCCTTTTATTGAGTTTATAATAATTATTATATAATAGTAAGTACTATGTGAACGACTTGACACAGTTTTCCTGAAAGCACACCAACGGTTTTGCGGTTCTTACTGCTAGTCAGGCACGTATGCACTACCCGGCAAAATAATCAATTCTGTATAACTATGCTTGCGTGGGATTGATTTATTTCAGTTTTTAATCAATAACTTCATTTATCCGTTTATGTTTCAAAACCTGTTCATTTCCTTATTACTCCAGGGTCAGGACGATTCTGCGGGACATCTTTTCTCCCCCACACTTTCCGTTTTGTTGCTATTCATCTGCATATTTGCTGTTGGACTCGCATTCTACTGTCATCGACGCACTCGGCAGTTCTATGGGACGTATGCCGTTAATTATC